ACCCAAAGCAAAGAGAATGAAGGAACATGGATAGGTTGCCTCCCCTACACACCAGGGACCACACCCACAGCCTGGGAATCGAACCAGCTATATTTTGGTGCACAGGATAAAGCTCAAACAACTGAGCCACATTGGCCAGGGTTCAATTTATGAGGCCAGCATTACTCTTACACCAAATCCAGACAAAGACATTATAAGAAAAGGAAACTAAGGACTTATACTATCAAAAACATAGACATTAAAATAATCAACAAGCATGCTCTCTCTCCAGGAGCACTTCTAATGAGCCAAAGCAGCCCCACCTAGGCTCTCTCCTGTTGCTTCTTCTGTACTAAGTCCTTCCTTGTTTCACTGTCCCCAGCTTTAATAAATGTACTCTCAAAATCAAAAATATAAAAATAAAATAAAATTTTCGACAAAATATTAGCTAATAAGATCCAATAACATGTAAAAAGAATAATATATCACAACCAAGTGGGGTATATGCGAGGAATGCAGGGTTGGTTGGTTCAATAACAGAAGTTCAGTCATTGTAATTCACCATACTAATAGTCTAAAGAAAAAAATCATTGACATCATTGACAAAATTCAACATCTGTTAATGATCTTAAAAATCTCAACAAAAGAATAGACAGGAACTTCCTCAACCTGATAAAAGACATCTACAGAAAGTCTATAGCTAACCTCTAAGTTGAACAGCTTCAATCCAATATAAAAAATGTATATTTAATATGTATATATATTTGAGAGACACATACTCAAGGGTAAAATTTTATATATATACATATAAAATATACATTTTTCGTAGGCAAGATTTTATAAAGTTGATATAAAGGCTTTCTCTAATAGATGACATGGACCACATATTTGCATACATAATATATAATTTCCTTTCTTTCCATTTTCTCAGGATATTATAACATTATCTTCTGGTGATCCAAATGTTTTTTGGTTAAAAAAAAAAAAGCCAGAATTCTAAATTGTAGTGTGTTCTATCTTTTTATCTTTTACAAGGCAGAAGTTTATTGTAAAAGTGAAATGGCTTTAATTATAATTATAACAAAGACAAGTAGTCCTGCTGAAAACATCCTCAGGGTTTTTTTTCTCACTTATGTTGCATTCAAAGTAATTTTATAATTTCGTTTGTATGCTTGAAAGGTAATATAATTATCTTACAACATATGATATACTGTAATTCCAAATTCTTACCTGAAACATTGTTAAATGTTCCCCATATAAAAGGGATATCAATCAAAAAGTCCATATTTATTTTAATCAGAGAGGTCTATATTGTATTTATTGAAGAGTTTGGGAAATGGAAGCTCAATTTATCTCACAGCCTCATTAATATTTGCTTCTGCCCAGATGGAATGTTAATATAGCTTATAACAACTACTAAATTATAATTAGCATAGTTAATTAAATTTCCAAACAAATAACTAGAAAAAGAGCAAATCTGTAAGTCTTACTTAAAATAATTTAAGTACTTATTTTTATTTCCTTTAAGTATATAAACTTGATAAGGATTAAAATTGATAAGACCAATATAAAGGAGTGTTATGGGCTGAATTGTGTGCCTCCAAAACTCATGTTGAAGTCCTAACCTCTAGTACTTTATTGGAGATAGACCACACAAATAGGTAGCTATGGGTGGGCCCTAATCTAATACAATTGGTGTCCCTTATGAGAGGAGATTAGGACATAGACATGCATACAGAAGAAAAACCATGTGAGGATACAGAGAAAAGGCAGACATCTGCAAGCCAAGGAGATAGGCCTCAGAGGAAACTAAACTTGCTGACACCTTGATTTTGGACTTCTAACCTTCAGAAGTGTGAAAAATAAAATTACCTTGTTTAAGTCACCCATTCTGTGTTACTTTGTTACAAGGAGTTTTTAATATATTTTTCAACGTGTGTTGAGAAATGCCTGCTGTATGCTAGACATTGTTTTAAGAAACAGCTGTTTCATTAAAGAAGTTTAGAATATACAGGTTCAAGACAACTATGGTAGATTATATATTCTCTAGTAAGTAGAACAATATATGTACATAAATTGTTTAACAGAGCAGAAAATTGAGCATTCTCTTCATAATGTCTAAAATCTTATAGTGGTGTTTTTTGTGGGTTTTTTTTTAACAATAATACATAAAATCCCACAATAATATGTAAAAGCAGTCTAATCAGGAAAAATTATCAATGGAAAACAGTTTTTATGTTCAACAGCACTACTGCAAGTACAAAAGCAAAAATAGTAAAACATACTACATTTAACTCAATGGTTCTCAACCTTCTGGCCCTTTAAATACAATTCCTCATGTTGTCACCCCCAACCATAAAATTATTTTCGTCACTACTTCATAACTATAATGTTGCTACTGTTATGAATTGTAATGTAAATATCTGATATGCAGGATGGTCTTAGGCGACCCCTGTGAAAGGATTGTTCGACCGCCAAAGGGGTCGCGACCCACAGGTTGAGAACCGCTGATTTAACTGAATGTCCTAATACTCTCCAAGCGGGTACTCATTAGCAACTGACTACCCACTGAAAGAAAATAATTTGAGGCCAGAGGACTGATAACTGGAACTGAGCAGAGAACAGTGTCCACACAACCAATGGAGCTAGAATCAAAACTGTATAGCCCCGGATTTTACTGTTCTTACAAAACAGGAGTGTGGCTCTTGTGTTTGTGATTGTTCTGAGGAATAATTATAGAGTATTTCTCTCCAGTAAGAAGTTTCAAAACTTACACAACTGCTTTTTCCACTTAAAAAAAACAACCGCACTGTATTATTAGCTAAAAGAAGATATTTTGATAAATGAGAGTTTTGTCTGTTTTCTGTGGTTTGGTACAAACTGTATGATCTGTTCCAACCCACACATCTACATAACCCATCTCTATCACTGAATAATTGAAAGTTAGCCTCACATTTAAGCACTTACTGCATTGTCTTCTCATACATTCTTAATACTGTTATTGCTAATAAGTTTATGATGCACTCCCTTATGATAGAAATAAATAATGAATCAAAGGTGCTGAACTCTGGGAATATGAGCTGTCAGCTTTCTTTTCCTCCCTAAATATTGAGTTCATTACTTTGATTACTTGGGACAGTAGCTGGGGATATCCCATCCTCTGCTGGACATTCAATAGGCATTTGGGGGAAACTCTTTCTGGAAATGAGTTAATTAATTTTAGTTTAAAGGGACAGAAACAAATTTCCATGTTTATAGTACTTGCTAAGAAATATTCCCAAGACATAGGTATTGCTGAAAACGATATGAAGTGTTCTTAGGTTTTATCTATAACTTTTATGATTAACATTAACCAATTAACTTCATTCAGACTTGCTGAATGCCTACTGTAAGAGTCTATGTCTAAGTTCCCTAGAAGCAGAGCTCTCGATGGTGATTATTGAGAGGATTAGTTGAGGGAGTGATTGCAGGAGAACAAGAATGAGGGAGGCAGGATAGTACACAGGAAAGAAATTTAGCAAGGCCACCAGCTTTAGTCTAATCCCACAGGAAATTCTCGTCCATCTTGAGGAAAGGGGCCAACTTTTGTGCCCCATGTCAATTATTGAATAGGGGCTGTAAACCTCAGGATGTGGCTGATCCAGTGTCCTGTTCTGCTGAGGGAAGAGAGCAATTCTAGATGGGACAGCTGTGAGTTGCTAACAACAGATACTCATTACATCTAGGGGATGAACAGACCAGCCAGATGGGGGATGGGCATCAACAGAGTACAGTAGATGACTGTTTTTGATATAGTCATGATTTATTTAATTTTTGAGATAGGAAGTAACTTAGAGATTAGATAGCAAATTACCACTCATTTTCCACCTAAGGAAAACTGAGGCTCAGAAATAGTGTTAGAAGTGCCCAGTTTGGCATAATATGGATTAAAGCACAAATCTGACTTGTAGCAGTGTTACCTTTTATTATATCCTGTAGGAACCCTAATCAGAGTACGCCAGATGTTCAAGGCCAATTTGCCATATGCAGGTGCAAAAGCAAGAACACAGCAATCTCACTGTATGCACTGCGCAGGTGTATCTTTCTATAACCCAATAATTGATGTCACTATTTGGCAAGAAGCCTCTTCTGTCTAAGTTAGTATAAAGACTAGAGGCCTGGTGTATGAAATTCGGGCCCTCGGGGGGGGGGGGTGTCCCTCAGGCTGGCCTGTGCCCTCTTGCAGTCCGGGATCAGGCATAAACCGGCAGTCGGACATCCCTCTCACAATCCTGGACCGCTGGCTGCTGATCGTTCACCTGCCTGCCTGCCTGGTTGCCCCTCACTGCCCCCCTGCCAGCCTGATAACCCCTAACTGCCCCCCACTGCTGGCCAGGTCGCCCCCAACTGCCCCCTCCCTGCCAGCCTGGTTGCTCCTAACTGCCCCTCCCCTGCTGGCCTGGTCGCCCCCAACTGCACCCCCCCCCGCCAGCCTAGTTGCTCCTCACTGCCCCCCCGCCAGCCTGGTCACCCCAAACTGCACCACCCCCCACCAGCCTGGTCATCCCCAACTGCCCCCCCTGCTGGCCTCATTTCACCTAGCGGACCACCTTCCCTTATTGCCCTGGGCCCCCCCTCCCGGCCCCAAGTTCTCCCATTTTCTTTTCCCTCACTAACCCCCCTGTTTGCCCGGTCGTAGGCAGCCATCTTGTGAGGGTGTGAGGGTTAATTTACATATCACCTCATTATTATATAGGATGTGTTACTGACCAGCAGGTGGCTGGCTCCTGTGTTTGCTACTATATTAGCAAGGGCTGCTTTGTGCAGCTACTTTGAAGAACTGTTTTGTTAGCAATGGCTACATGGTCTGCAATAAACTCTCCTATATTCCTACGGCTGCTCGTCTTCTTTGTCTAATACCTGGTGTCCACAGGGGTATAGGCCCTAGCAGAGAAGGACCTGTGCACCCAACATATCCTAATTCCTAATTGCAGAAATTTTTCTAGGTAACTGAAACCTTTTCTCTAATATTTTTCTTTCAGAGAACTGAAGATCCTGATATCATTTTAGGACTTAATGAGTTTTGTAATAGGAAAGAGATAACTGCTCACAAACAAATAACTGGACTCTTCCTGCTTGCAGTGATGTAAGAAAAAGAATCCGACATCTAAATTTAGATGAGAATAAAAAAGTAAAAAGGCAGCCCCAAACTGGAGATAAAAATAAAAAAGAAGAGATCAATTTCTGCCTATCGCAAGTGACGACGAGGCAGAAAAACCTTGGGCTGGACTAATGCCTAGAAATGAAAGAGCAGAAACAGATATCTCGTCACCAGAAATTATTTTAACAGCACTAAGTATTTTGACCACATTTTATGAGGAAGAATCTTGAAACTGAATTAGAATTCTATTTTTAAGTCTTTAGACTCAATATAAACAAAATCAGCATTGTCCTTTTCTCTTAAAACATCCCAGCTTTATAGATGTATTTATGTTGTCTTTAGGCATTCTGTAACTATACCAAATAGGCAAAATGTGAGAGTTGTAAATTCTGTTTAATTTATTTATCTGTTTATATTGTAAGTTGTTGACCTGGTGTCTTTGGATGCTGAAGGGCCCATGGATAGAATTCACGGCATGCTTGCATTTGATGGGTAAAATAATATACATATTTTTCTTTAGTAAAATTTAAATGAAATTTAGAAAATTCTCTAAGTATAAATGTTAGCAAAAATCTTAGTACTTGTGACCTTGTAACCAGTAGAAATCCCAGATACTTTCAAATCACAGTGAGGTTGTGGCAGATATTGTAAAATATCATTTATGTTTATCAATCTCTCAAGAATACTTCAGTATCAGTTCTTAGCCTCTCTTTCTACAGATGCTCTTGCACTAGAGCTAGCCAACTTCAATGCAACTCTGGGCCTTCAAATGGTGGATCTATATAACCTCATAATAGAAATTTGACTCAAACAGCTTTAGAGAATTTTGGTATTCCTTGAGAGAATCCATCCATTTCTTGTTAAGCAAACTAAGGGAACTTTAGTTAAATTTATGACAATATATTTTGGAGAATATGGGTTGCCAACATTTGTAACCAAAAAACCAAAAACTGGAAGTCAACTGGATATCTTACATGATATGCACAAAGCCATCAAAAAAGTTTATCATTCTTATTCATGCTAAGCAACAACAGCCATCACACTGAGTTATAAAAATAAAATTTAACTTTTGCTTGCCTATATTTTAAATCTATTGCTATTTAGCATAGTTTTAAAAGCTCGTATATTATTATATTACAAAAATATTTTATAAATATTTCAATATAATTTACTTTCTTCATAATCCTACTACGTATTCTATGTATTCAAAACATTATTCTTAATAGGAGTCAGGCTTTATCAGACTGCCAAAGAGCTCATGATATAAAA